CATCAGGCCGAGGACAGAATCCTCTCCCAGCTTTTCCCCGAGGGCCGGAGCCCACCCACGGACCGGGTTGTCCATCGCAGAGAGCCCCGGTTCTGAGCTCCACCAGGCCGGGCAGAGGCAACCCCACCCGGTTAGGGCTGTCTGAACGCAGAGGGGAGACTCCTTCACAATTCATCTGTACGAGTTCTGCCTCCCCTCGGCCAGCAGAAGCTGAGAAGGGCGAGTCGCTCTCCCGTGGAGGAGAAGGGACCGTCTGCACTGCGGCGCACCCCCAAACATGCCGGGGGTGCTGAGGGTGGGCTGGGGCTGGTGCAGCCGTGCCGGGGACGCCTGGCTCTTACCCGGAGCCGAGCGATGCTGAAGGTGCACGGAGCTGCTCGGGGACACCTGCCCACCCCAAAGTCCCGCAGGGGTGGGAACGGCACCCTCGGCCCCAGCGCCGCGGTGATCCCCACGTCCCCCCCGCAATGTCTTCTCCCTCCCCTCCCAGGACTGCGAGGACTTTGAGAAATGCTGCACCAACGTGTGTGGGCTGCGGAGCTGCGTGGCCGCGCGTTTTGCCGACGGCAGCCTCCCTTCTCCGGCTCTGGCTCCCGCCGCCTCCTGCGAGAGCTTCGTGTGCGCGCAGCAAGGCTCGGACTGCGACATCTGGGACGGGCAGCCCGTGTGCAAGTGCAAGGACCGCTGCGAGAAGGAGCCCAACTTCACCTGCGCCTCCGACGGCCTCACCTACTACAACAAGTGCTACATGGACGCCGAGGCGTGTCTGCGCGGCACCCGCCTCACCACCGTGCCCTGCAAGCACATCTTCACCTGGCCCGACACCAGCCCCGTGCCGCAGGAGACCACGGCTCGCCCCACGCCGGGAGCCGGCCCCGAGGTGCCGGTGCCCCCCGCCCTCTACAGCAACCCCTTCCACCAGTCCGTGCGGGCCGGAGGCACCGTCAGCTTCCGCTGCGACGTGAGCGGCCGCCCGCAGCCCGACATCACCTGGGAGAAACAGAGCGAGCGGGACGAGAACTTCATCATGCGGCCGGACCAGATGTACGGCAACGTGGTGGTCACCAACATCGGC